CTCTTCTCTTCTCTTCTCTTCTCTTCTCTTCTCTTCTCTTCTCTTCTCTTCTCTTCTTTATTTCTTTTTCACTTTTCTCCATTCTTTTTTAATTCAAAATGTGTATTTGAAAAATTTCATTAATAAAAATTATATATAAAAACAGTATTGGAGTGTGACATATGTAAAGATGCAGTACGTTTTAGTGTTTCATATTATTTGCCATCCCAATATTTTCTTGTTAAATATCACAAAATATTTTATATCAATATAATTTAATGAATTCTCATGATATATACTGTCAAAGCCAGGGACTAAATAAATGCTCTATATTGGAAACTTCTAAGAATACCTTTCTTTGAAATCTGGCAATTGATACTGTGGGAGTATGATTCAATGTAAATAACAACAACAACAACAATAACAATAACTACACACTGCAACTTATGAAAGTTCTCTTTACAAACAAGAAGTAAATTTGAAAATTGCTAAAAGATCTAAATACAGAGAGAACACAAAGCTTCCCTCCCCCATATATAAAGCTATTCACCTTGGGAAGGTTTGACATACTATTTTCAAAGTTATTGGAAGGGAGATTTAACAATGTTCACTTTGAAGAAAAATTCATAAACTTGTGTACTAATCTCAGTTAGAAAACAATGGCTTTGACATGAAAGTAGAAAGGACATCTACTTAGTCCACCCTGATTATTGCTCCCATCACATACATTAACACATATATCCTCTTCTCTCACTTCAGAATTCTCTTTTAGACTTTTAAATTATTGTCAACAGTTTTTATAAGATATATTTTTCTATTTTTTTTCTTCCCTTTTTGGTCTATGAATTTAAAGCAAATAAGCCATAGATTTTAGTGAAACATGAGAAAAAGAAGCTTCTAATCTTATATAATAAGCTTCATCTCTCCTCTTCCTCTTCCTCCTCCTCTTCTTCTCACTAACCTGTCACTCCTCATCTTCTTATAGTAACTTTTTTTTCTGGGGCAGCCTTAAATAGCTTTTATGGCAGCTGCATTCCACCTTTTTGTTTCTCACAAAAATGTCTTACATATAAAGTAATTTCATGTCAGCATTCCCAGATACAGCAGTCAGGAAACATAACGAGATGAGCTAATTCTATTTTATTATAAAGCTGCAATAAAATAATCTTGTAAGTCTGAAAGTATAAATCTCCCGCTCTTTCCTTTATAGTCTGGGAAACTAGAGAGCATCCCTTCTGAGCTTCTTTCTCTTCTCATTATGCAGCTGTGGGGTATGCCCTCTCTTATCTGACTGTTCCCTGGGCAGCATCTTCCTGTCTTTCATTGCACTTCATTATGAGAACTGCATTCCAAAATACTGAGCACATTTCACGTCTTTATTTATGGTTAAAAGGATAAGGAAAAATAAAAACTCACTACAGCCTCTTAACCGGAGGAATAACTCTCAGGTCACAGCTTAGAGGATTTATACCATAGTGGAGCAAGAAATTTGTTTTATTTCTTTATTAGCTGCTCCTTTCTGTTCAAATCAGGTCTCAGAATAATAATGTAGCATTTGGGGAAAAAGATGCAGCCCAGTAATCCCACTGCTGAAGCCAAAATGGAGAAGATCTCCACTGCCACCATGTACTTCCCCTTGGTGCTCAGATAGGTGGGAACAAAAGATATCCAGACACTACAAAAGACCACCATGCTGAAGGTGATAAATTTGGCTTCATTGAAGCTGTCAGGTAACTTCCTAGCTAGGAAGGCCACGGTGAAGCTGATAGCAGTCAAGAACCCCATAAAACCAAGGACAGCATAAAACATAATGACTGAACCTTCATTACATTCTAGGACAATTTCTTCAGCCATTGAGCGAATGTCAGAATCTGGAAATGGGGGAGAAATTGCCAGCCACACAACACAAATGATGACTTGCACCAGGGAGCAAGAAAAGACAATGGAGTTGGCCAGTCTTTTCCCCACCCATTTCTTTATTTGGGATCCTGGTTTGGTGACCATGAAAGCAAGAACAACAATGGTTGTTTTACCCAAAATACAAGAAATGGCTATTGAGAAGATGATGCCAAAAGCAGTTTGTCGCATGAGACATTTCACTTGGTCAGGTTGCCCAATGAAGAGCAAAGTGCAGAGGAAAGATAGCTGGAGAGCAATGAGAAGAGTATAAGTGAGGTTCCTGTTGTTGGCTTTGACAATGGGGGTATCCCACTGTTTAATGAAGATCCCCAGCACCAAAGCTGAGATTATGAAAAAGAAGAGAGCTACAGTGGCCAAAGTGATTCCCAACGGTTCTTCATAAGACAAGAAAGTTACACGCTTTTCAATGCAAAGATTTTGAGCTTCATTTGGGTACTGATCTTCTGAACATTGGAAACAGTAATCTGCATCAGCAAAAAAAAAAAAAAAACATGGGCCATATAAGTTATGAATTAGATGGACTGAAGTATGCTTGCAACTTCATTTATTTCTAATTAAGTTATGCACATTTCATTTGTATTAAAATATTATAAATTAAGAATGAGACTATCCATCTGCAGAAATATCTATTGTATATTGCTTTTTCACAAACAGGCCTCTGTTGTTTGTGCCAATCTCAGTCTCATGTTGGAGGATAGAAGGATTGTGGAAGAGAAAAGCTTAATTGTGTTAAGCTTTCCAATTCAGAGTTTCCTGGCCCCTTTTCCAGAGAAATGGTGTGAAACTGCTTTGTGAGCTCTTGTAGTTGGATGTCTTGCTCAATGACTGAGTTGTTTTGTGGAAAATGAGTCCAAATCTACCACTTACATTCTGAATTCCCAACATGTGATTTCTGTACATTCAGGAAGAGACAAACTAATACCTTGAGGATATTTCCATTAACCATAAGCTTTTCTCATTTTAGATTTTCAAGTGACAACATTGTTACAAGAATTCCAGATATTTCCAAAGGTTACAGATCCTTGAAGATTGTAAATTGCTGTCAGAGCATCAGAAGGATCAATATTTATGGTCCATATTTCTTTATTTTCAGTCTTTTGAAATGTACTTGTTTTGTTCATAGGAGAAGCCTTTTGTTGGTGTAAGGAACTAAATTTACCATAGAATTTTTTTTAAAAAATAAACCTTTAAAAGTATTAGAAGTTCAGTCCTATGGCCTCTGAAATCTGCAAAAAATTCCTAGACCTTTATTTGACCTAGAATACTAAAACATTCCCTGTTAAGCTTCACTTCACCCAGTTTTCAATCAAATGCCATGCTGTTTTCAAGGCGTCTGTCTGGGAATATACCAAACACCCTCAATTGTTAGTTCCATTAAACCTCTTAGTTCATTTTGTATATTCCTCCTGCTGTCCAACAGTGGCAAACTCATCTTCTTGCTCCTTTCTACCTAACACAGCATCAGCATTCAATCCACTTCCTTCATATATGATTGATAATAAAGCACAAGGGTTCCATTCCTTTCCCCTTGCCCTCCAAAAAGAATTCCCTCAATCTTAAGAAGATTCTTCTCTCACTTAGGAAGAACTTTTTCCGTGGGATGGAATTTTTCTGTATCTGGTTCTGCATTTATGGGAAGTCAAAATCAGGCATGATTCAGGGACAACAGGGAGCAGAAGCTCAGGTTTGAATGTTATGAAAAACCCTGGAAAAACTCTAGGACCTAGGGAGAGGCAGAATTGGTTCAAAGAGCCCAATACTCTCAATTCTAAATAACTGATTACTTTTAGGAACAGAACAGTTTAGTTTAAATACAGATAGGAAAACAATAAGTTAATAGGTCTTATCAAATATATAGAAGACACATCTTACCTAGTTTGTTTGAAATTTTCCCTTTTGCACATGGAAGACAATCATAACAGCAAAATGGCTTCCCTTCTATTTTCATCTTGCTGTGGCCTGAATAACAATTGTCATTGCATACAGAAAGTGGTAGAGCCTGTTGAGAAATGAAACCACGATGGAGCAATTAAAAAAAATATTGTATTTTATAAACTAGTGTTTCACTGTGTATATGGTATTGTGATAAATCTTCATGACTTTTTGAGAAATGCAGTGCATTGGATTCACCCTCAACATTAAATTAGATATGCCCAACTAATAATTGCCCCCAAAGCAAAGTGACATTCTCTATATGTCCTCCTGGAATCATGTATGTTACTATTTCCTAAAGTATATGCACAAAACTTTATGTTTTCTGAAAGCCTAATGATTCAAGCTGGACTCCCCTCAAATCCCTCTTGGTCAACCTGTTAGGTAACTTATCCCATCTTTATAGGGGAGATTAAATTTTGGAATTAACTGCATTTCCATTGACTCTAGCCCTTTCTATCAGATAGGTCCTGAAATGTAGTACTGCAGAAAATTTATGCTGTACTTCATGGGATTCAAAGTTCCAATTGCATCTAATTCAGTTTAGCATCTATAGAAAATTACTTGGAGGAATTCGGGCAAGGGTTTAGACTATATGTTACTATCAGATATAGAAAATCCAGTTTCCCTTCTCTTTTCATATTTGAATTCTATGGAAACAGATGATGCTAATGTAGAAAAGATGCATGTGCTTTCAGCTGGGAATATTAACAACAGAAGGAAGTTATTAATCTTGAGAGGTAATTCATTAAATTGGAAGGACCAATACTATAGCTTCGCAAGACTTGTTGAAATGAGGAGATCTTGCCTAGAATGGGTTTAACCACCTATTTTCCCATCTGGGCCTTCTTGGTGGATTACCATCTTGATATGGAAGGACTTAGTTGTTCCAATGACACTTGCGAGTCATGTTGCTGGAGCGTGCATTCCTGGTAGAATCAAAAGATGAAGGAAGGAATTAAAAATATTTCACTTAGGAATGATGGCAGATGGAACTGAGAAGATGTAAGGGAATGAGCTAAAAGAAACTGGTCATATGCTTTCCATTTGTAAAAGTAAGGAAGCTGACTTTGATGGAGTAGCAGTGGCACTCAGTGGATGGAGATGCAAAAGTTCCATTGCCAAGGCAGTAAGGAGTAAAACATTTGTTAATCCAGATAACGGTCAGAAGCTGCTTAGACAGATATGTCCCTAATTCACTGAAGTATAAGAAGGAGGAGGAGGTACAATGCAATCAAACTTGCAAGATTCTGTTATAGCCAATCTCAGTAAAAGTAGTTTGAGCCTTTCTGTGGAGTTCATTTCTTGGTCTGCTCTCCCTAGGGGGGCTGACACTATTGGTGATGGCACTGCTGGGTATATGGCCTGAAAAATGTTCATGCAGAACAAATGGTGGACTTCATCTGGGCTGAGAGATATCTCTGAACATTAAGCCTGACATTTTAAGGATTGTAATATTTGGTAAAAACAGATTATTTTTGCTTCTTTTATATTGGATTATATTGTGAGCCACGAGAATCGTCTTGGAGTTGGGTCATGCCTAAATTGAATGAAATGAAGCAATGAATACATAGATAAATTTAACACAAATTGGAGAAGGAACGGCAAAATCAAACCCAGAAAGCAACAACAAACCATTTTGGTATTCTTGAAAGAAAACAGTATGGGCATGGCCATAATGTTTACATGAGTGTTTGTGCAAGATGATGAGATGCCCATTAGAGCAAGCAACTCAGCTTCATACTAGAGAAGGTCATAGCATTTTCACAAGTACAGCAGAAGGCCATGAGTTCACCATACCTAATCTGTCTGCTAAGTAGACCACTTGATATGGGTAGTCTGGTCATTGGTGGTGGCAGTATTGGAAGAGGAATACCTCATTTTACATAGACCTATCAAACTGGAATATGGAATAAAAGAATTATGAATCACCAAAGCTTGGAACATTCTGAGCAGAATTAGAAATTAGAAAAATTGGGCATGTGAGAAACAATTCAACTGGTAGATTGAAATCAGCTACTGTATATTAACTCTGATGATTTCATAATACCTTTGAGACATGAATCAATATGCTGCAATTCAGCAGCAGTGGCAATCAATCACAATACAATGCTATTTGTATTAGTAGAAATGAACTATAAAACCAATATGATGCAATGCAGGAAGACATAGAGGAAAATTATGAGCTGGAAGAGGTGCCAGATGCAACATAAAGAATGAAATGCTTGTATTCTTGGGTAATAGGAAAAGAAAAGCTGGATCAGTTGAACCTGGAATTACAGGAAGATTTGAAATCCAATAAACAGCAATGGTTGTGGGGAAAGACTAACTGAATTCTGTGAAGAGAATGCTGCACTTTACACAACTTAAAGAAAGAGTATAGAACTGGCCAACAGTGAATGGGCAGCATTTTTTTTTAATTTTTTTTTTGCTCCTACTTGTCAGTCCTGATTGCTGGTGACTGCCTGGACAAGTCCCTGCAGTTTTCTTAGCAAGATTTCAAATGTGATTTGTCATTGCCTCCTTCCTAGAGCTAAGAGAGAGAGTGACTGGCCCAAGGTCACCCAGCTGGCTTTGTGCCCATAGTAGTATACCTTGTGGTCTCCTGGTTTCTAGCCCAGTGCCTTAACCACTAAACCAACTGGCTCTTCTTTACTAACTAGAATCAAATTACATAACATGAAATACATAATAGAGAAATGCATTCCAGACAGCCTTGTAGAAATTATGGAATGGAATGTATTAATGGTGACAAAGTTACAGGTTAAACTTAGAAAACCAAAGAGAATAGATGGGATTGTAAGGTATATCTTGGACAATATGCAGTCAGAATATAATAAAATTATAAGGTAGAGATTCAGCAGCTTTAATTACGAAGGAAAAAAAACCTTGGAACAATGGGAAGAAATAAGATATTTCAACTAGTACAGTATCTCAAGATATAGATTATTTATTATTAAATAATTTCCAGCTTTCATTATTCAAAGATGACTTCCTATATAAGGCAACCTGAATGTGACAGCTGGTAATTGTTTATGTTCAGGAATGCCCATAAATTTATGGTAAGGCATTACAAGTGTTATAGTAGAAGCCCTATATATTCTAATCTCAGCTTCCTTCATTTTTCGTCATAGTTTTATTGCCCCAATTGTAATAATAATGAGTCACTCAAATGACAGCAGTGATTTCTGAAAAAGGCAGGGAGTATAATTCTTGATAACCTGAAATGTCAGTAGGAAATACCTGGTTGAACATGGGTGGCCAGATGATGTTTTCTTCAGAAATTGTGAAACGCTCTTCTGGAGGAGTCAAGGGATCTATCTTTCCAACTTTGACTTTAAGGAAAGTCTGGTTTGGGAATGTGATCCAGTTGATTATATCAAATCCAGTTCCTAATTCCCCATTTTCATTAAAGAAAAATTTTTCCCCAATACTGTTGTTAAATAAGACTCTTCTCAGATAATGATGGAGCTAAATGGAAGCAAATCAAATCCGAATGTTTGCGTTTGAAGTATGTTGATTCTTTAGCTTTCTGTTTTAATTATATACACCACCCAGAGTCACATGCAAGAGATGGGTGGCTATATTCGACGAACAAATAAATAAATGCAGTTGATCTGGACAAATAAATATTCCTACACTAAAGGTACACTAGTAGCTTTTAGAAGTTGTGGGTACTACTATGCTGGTGAATCAAAATATTAATAAACACACTTTCATCAAACTGAACTGGCTTGACAAAACCTTAAATTAATAATGAATCTGTGGTTTCAGTCAAATGTATTTTTTGAAATCACATCTTACTTACGCAGTTCCTCCTCATTGTTTTAAAGAAACATGAACCAGTGCAAAGATTCATGTAATTTCTAAGCTAAGGGGATACTGAACCTGAAATGTAATGGCTCTGTATGCAGAAAAACAGCTGACTGCATCAGAGAGGCTTGCTCAATGTGCCATTGTTATTTCTTCTATTATTACCTGCCATGTTTCTTGATTGAGAATCATCGGTCTCCCACTGTCTGCCCTTGCTCTGTGTTTGGATTTGGATGAAAACATGGCTTTCAAAGCATGTACCACAGCATAGACTGCATTATAAATGCTGTAACTCTGCCCAGTCATGGTGGTATCAAACACAGCATTAGGAAGAGTCTCCAACTTCTCTTCTCCAGTGCACAGCACTCCAGTGTCCTCATTTAACTTATCTTTAAAGAAAGAACATCCAAATGCCTGTTCCCAGAACAATCTTATTAAATGGTCTTCCTCTACTGAATTAGGGTTTCTCATCTGTAAGAATCTTTTGAACCCAGTCACCTCCTTGGAAGAAACTGCAAAAGATATCGCACCATGAATAAAGTCCAAAGGCCGTATTTTTTGAAAGGGGACTGATGTGAACTCCATTTGTGCTGGCATGATCCAAACTTTATCTTTTCTGCTTACTGGTATATCCTCATATTCTGAAAGGTAGGGAAATATTCTGAAAATGGCAATGATCTGGTTTTCACAATAGAGGATCACAACATTGACAGTGCTTTCCATGACAACCTTGTACATATCAATAAAATGTTTAAATACACCTACAAAGTCATTAGAGAAAGTTTCTTTGGGAATCTCTTGCATGAAGGCAAAGCAGATACCTTTCTGGTAAAACAATGTAAGGGCATTCCGTACAAACCTCTCTCCACTCTCATCACGTTGGGAAATCAGCCCTATCCATGTCCACCTGAAATGCAACAGCAGCTGGAGAATCCCCTTAGTCTGAAGCTCCTCATTTGGGAAAAAACGATGGAAGAAAACTGTGTGTTCACTGTTGTCTATCATTGGGGCAGAGCCATATATAAGCTAAGAAAAAAATGAATAAAAGAATTGGATTATAGATTCTATTTTTTTACTATAATAGCTATATTGGTCGCAAACCTGAAGAGAAATATAGTCCAGTCTAGAAAGAACTGATTTTCAGGATTTTCCTTTTATAAGTATAAATGTAACAATATTTGAAAGTCAAATAATATTATGACAATGTATTGATTCAGTATTCCCTGAACTTAAATTTATTTTATTTCACATGTTGCTACCATACTTTCTTCTTACCTTGCATGTGATATGATATTTTAACTTCCTTATGAGATACAATAGCAGATTTTTCTAGGAAGTAGAGTCTCCTTGCCCCACCCTTTAGTACTGGAGTGAGAAATATGAAGCTCCTTATGATAATCTGGTGACATTGACTCATGCATGTAAGTAGACTACTGCAATGTGTTCTGTGTAGGGCTGCCTTGGAAGACTGCTTGTATACTATAGGTGTTATGAATGTGGCTGCTAGGTTACTAATCAAGTATACCTGTCAGTGTAGTATAACTTGTGCAGTGTGATCAGTGCACTGATTGACAGTGTGCTTGTAGGCCCAAATGAAAATGCTACACATTTTCCAATCACACAATTTCTGTTGGGCCATGTTATGGAACCAGCAGGGTCATTCATCTTGCCCACAGCTGGTGAAGCTTATACTCCTGAAAACCCTATCCACATCCTCAGGTTCCACATCCTCAGATGAATCCCAAGGTGACTGCAAGATGTCACTTTCTTCACTTTGCTTGTATCTTCCCAGCTGGCACCCAAACCAGAAAAGTTCATAAAGTTTGCAATTTGTGTCTTTTATCTCTTTCTTTTCATCAATACCTCCTATCCCATTATTCTCTAGATGGTCTCTTCTTCACAAAACACTACAATAGAACAAACTTTCTATCTTTCTGTCTTCCTTCTTTTACTCTCCCTACACCTTGATATGACTCTGCAATAATAATCAAATCAACCAAGCTCCTAGCTAGCTATACCCCATACACCATTACACCTAGGTGACTTTAAATGGCAAGGAGAAAATCTCTTCTATGGAATGGAAAGAGAAGTTTGCTAAATGTATAGTCTACCAAGCAGATCTTGTTTAGGCTAAACTGAGTATCAGTACAGATAGAGTGTGCATTGTTGTACCACAGATCAGATTTTCTCAGGACCAAGGAAGTCAAGCAGTGGCAATATATACAGTAATATTGATCAATACTACAATTTAGGCACGTATCATGCAACAAATCCCTACTGTTTAGGCAGTTTTGCCTTTTTATTCATGTTCAGATGGCCACTTATGCAAATCACAGAACTTAATTTAAGACAGATCTCTGCAACTTAATAGAAATCTAACCAAGCATAGATTTTACACATTGGGAAAAACAAAGGCTCATTATTTACAAGTAGTTCTTACTTGTGGCATCTTGTATATATTCAGAATATTTGGCATAAATGGACAGACATTTGCATTAGGTCCTGCAATAACAGATACCGTCTTCTCTTGGATATCACACTTATAATTAGGGATGAATCTGGCCTGTGTGGACAGTAGCTCCAGTGAAGCAAAATAAGTCCATTTTGCCAGGAAATTGCCATTAGAAATGTGAATGCCCAGAGTCATGTTGGATAACATCTGAGGGTTTTCATTAATCTCCTTTGCAGCAAAAATCAAGGTCAGGATATGTTGGTAGTTCTGCAGAAAAAACCTGCAATGAGAATTATGGTTGTAAACTATTTCAAAAAGATGGATAAAATTCTAGCACGAAAACAAATGTGATCTTTTTGCAACATCTGGAATTTTTTTTTTTTGCTTTCTTTTTTCCCCCAATCCTAGGAGAAAATGTGGCTACTTTAAGTATGTCTGAGAAATACTTTTTCCTCCACACAATCTAAAGGACCTTTCAAGAATTGAATCCAAAATGCACTCAGACCCTTTTTTTCCTAATATCCATGATAAGAATTCAAATCCTATGTATTGTTGATTTGTTAATTGCAAATAGTGATCAGGAATACATTAGTGATTATTTATCCTGCAGTAAATTAAAAAGAGAACTATGGACATTCATTGTTTCTTGAACTAAAAGTAATTGCTGCACGTTTTACTTAGTCACTGGAAAGTATAGGTTTTGTTTTATTTTTCCTTTGAGATGGGAAGTATTTGTGGGCCCCTAAATGCATACAAGAAACGTGGATCAATCAACAAGGAATACTGAGAATTATTGGTATGGTTGATGATGGTCATGATCATGATGATATGATGATAATATTGCAGTTTGAATACTCCCTATTTAAATAAAGTTAAACACTCAAGTTATCATGGTAAAGAAAGATTATCTATTTTATTGTACATTATAGTTAATAGCAGTAAGTCTATACATGAGCTCATCAACCAGTTCTTCCGATGGATGCCTTGTAAAATCTACTGGATCAGAAATCAGGTAGAACTGAGAAATAATGCCAGCAATGATGAGATCTCCTCTATGATAATAATTATATTTAAAAAGATCAAGCTTGCCCACCACACAGGTAGCAGTAGCAGGAATAAGGCATACCACATCTGGCAGTAACAATATCAGTGACATGAACAATAACATATTTTACAAGAAATATTAATTTCCTTCTGGAAAATAAAAGCCTCATTGAAGTGTAGTAGCCTCCATATATGTTCTTTCACTTGCTTGATTGGAACTTAGCATGTGCAGTTTGTCACTGCTCTTCTCTTTTTCATGCCACTCATGAATGGAACAAGGCATATTATTTGCTCCCTTCAATCGTATTTAATTGTGACATTATGTTCCCTGAAGCCCTTTAGAGATTTCAGAAGGAATTTAATTAATAAGGTGTCTTTTGGCAATTATAGGAGAGATAGCCATGACACCTTCCAGAGAGACTGTATAGCAAAACCTTCCCCCCCCCCCCGAAATACCAAGAGAACCTTATGTCTGTAATTAATTTCCCCAGAAAAGCTTGTCATTGCTGTTGAAGATTAACCCCCAACTGATCCCAGTTTAGAAAGTGAGGAAATTTCAGAAGAGAGAATTGTAATCAGAAAGGCCCACTTTTTCAACACTTTTTACAATGCAGAATAAAAAGGATGGCTTGTTTCTCTTCATTCATTTACTGCATATAATTATTTTTTCATAATCAAGAGATATGTGCCAGAACTTAGCAGGTCTGGTGAGAGCACTGATCTGCAATTATATCCATTTATATCTTGATATTTTAATATCCTATAATATCAATAACCAATTAATTGTTTATAATCAAATCAAAGTTTATTGATTAGCCCTTAGGCCATATCAAAATACATTATTTCAAACACAAAATATTGATAAAACCCTATATAAAAACAAATTAAGTAAAATGGAAATAAAGTACGGTGATGTACTTTATGGTTATACAAATAAGCGACAGTACAAATCATATTTCCGTGTCACCCCTACAATTTACTCCAATCAACCCCACATATGCAGATTTCAACCTTATTGTTTTACTCAAATACCGAGCTGTATTATATGTTCCCCTTCATGGATCACTGCTTTGTCATGGCGAAGGGGCTTGCCTAACTCAGTGAAGCCA